CAATCGGATGAGGACCCTCCCATCAGTGGACTGGGGGAGGGGCATGGGTGGAGAAGAGGGAGGTAGAGTGGGATTGGGAATGGACAATCGAGAGGGCTACATTTGGGATATAAAGTGAATAAACTGTAATTAATAAATAAATTTATAATAAGGATAAATAAATTAAAAAATATTTCAATACAGGTTAAGACAGAGGAGACTTGTTTTCTACACACCCAGGAGCCAGTAGCAGGGGATTAAAAATAGGCCCTCAAAATTGAAATAATGGTACTCTTTAGGTTTGGTGTTAGAAGGAAAGTTTGTAGAAGATATTATATTCCTGGCTCAGAATTTTGTTTACTGTGCTCACCTTAAGTAAAGACAAAAGACAAAGTTTTCTTTTGGAAGTCTCTGGATTAGATTATTATACATCAACCAAATCCAAAACCCACTTCAAATAGTTAACCAATGTTGAGGCTCAATTTTTTCCCATATTTTAGTATTTTCAACTTTGGACTGCATCACACAATTGATGAATATAGTTAATATTTACTTGGTATAACTGTCATCTTTCCTTTAAAACATTTTTATCAAGCAGATGATATGTAGAACTTAAAGATGTCTTAGATTCAAAGAAATGTCATATTATCAATAGGAAAAATAGGCACACAAAATTGAGGAAGAAATTTTTATCTTAGTTAGGCTTCTACTGCAGTGATAAAACAGCATGACCAAAAGGAACTTGCAGAGGAAAAGGGTTTATTTCATCTTACAATTCTCATGTCAGATTCTGTCACAGAGGGAAAGCAGAGCTGGAACCTGTGTGCATGAATTGATGCCGAAAGCATGGAGGAGTGCTGCTTACTGGCTTGCTTCTCCTTGGTTGCTTAGCTTGCTTTCTTTCACAGTTCAGGACCACCTGCCCGGGGTGGCACCACCCACAGTGGGTGGGATCTCCAACACCAATCATCAATGAAAAAAAGTGCACCCATGACTTGCCTACTGGCCAATCTGATGGAAGCATTTTCTTCTTCCCAGATGAACCTGGCTTGTGCTATGTTGATTGAAAAAAAATAAAATAAAAACAGCTATCTAGCGCAGATGTGATCAATAATCTCTTTACTCTGAATTTTACCAGTGGACTGAAGCAATGAGAATAGATGTAACCATCCATTTACTCACAGAAAAAACTTCAAGCTAAAATTTGGAAGTTTGGTTACTTACTGTGGAGTGAATCAAACCCATGATCTCCCTCACATTTCTAGTTCTATTATTTCTGATCTAAACACTACCAACCCAAGTCAAGGCTTTTAATAAAGAAATTCCATTTTGGAAGTCAGTTTACCACTATACATTTGCCCTCACTTATTCTTGATTCTTGTTATAATCACCAGCCACTTAAGTATGCCATGCTTGTACATCTTTTCATATGTTATCACTGTTCAGAAGACTTTTCTTTGCATGTTGTCCACTATAGAAATCCTATCCATCCAAATGGGGTTAGTTGATCTTTTTCTGCTGATAATTCTGTACCTGTTACATGCCTCTACATATGGACTGAACATACAAAGCCCTAGAGATTATTTTAAAAGGCATCTATTACCTTCACTATAAATTTCTCAGAAATAACTGTTTCTGATTTGTCTTTTTAGGTTAGTACTTAGGACAAACTTTGGTATGCAGAAGAATCCAGTAAGTATTTAAAGATGAAGAATAAATATGAAAAGAAAGTAAAAAAAAAAAAAGGAACAGTATGGAAGTGGTAAAACATGGAGCTGTGGTATGGCTCAGTTGATAACACACTTGTCTTATAAGCACCAGGACCTATATAAAAATGGCAACCATGGTGGCATATGCTTGTAGTTTCAGAGCTGAGGAGGTTGATGAGACAGGAGGATTCCTGGGGCTCTCTGACCAGCCACTCTAACCTAATTGGTAAAATTTAGGCCAATAAAAGATCTTGTCTCAAAGAAGGTAGATGGTGTTCCTGGAATGAGAATGACATACAAAATTGCCCTCCAGCCTACACATACACACACACACACACACACACACACACACACACACACACAAACAAACAAACAAACAAGCAGGCACCCATGCATGCATACAAGCATGAACACACACACGCACACAACACAGCAACAACACAACAACAAAGTGTCATGACATGAACAATGTTTTAGTTGATGCTGCTCTTCATTGGGATACATGCTTTATCCAAACCTGAGCTCCTTGCTGGACTTAAAATTGCCGACATTGAGTTTAATTGTTAATAATAAAATCTATTTATCTCTATTAGGTTTTTCTCCATAGTTGATTATAGATTCATTAGAGCGAAGGCATGAATATTCTGTATATATTTTTATTTTGTTTTAGATAAACTGTATATTGTTGTTATGAGATGTGATTTAGTTTCCAAGATCCTTTATTCAGGATACCTTTAATATTAAAACTAATAGCAATTTGCATAAGAAAAACGGCTAGACTTACAACAGTTTTATTTATTTAGAGCCTAGGATTTCTCCAGAGCTTAGAGCAATCCCCAACACTAGACATCAAAAACATAATTTTACAGTAATTTAAGAGAGGAAAATTTGAATATTACTGATAAGACCCTGGGAGCTTAATTACTTCAAGATCACTTGAAATCTTAACTCATTAGAGTCTGAAAAATCTCCTGAGGTATTTAAAGTCGGTATTCCCATTATGTTACTTGATTCAACTTGAGTGTCTTAGATTTTGTTAATAGGAGAAAACTCGAAGCTACTGCCGCCAAAAGGAGAGCCCATTTATCATTTTCTTAAGAAAAGCTATTAAGCATCTCCTCAGGGTACCTCAACATTTGATAATATAAAAGAAGGCAAAGGATTTAAAGAAGGAATACCTCCTTATCTAAAAACTAAAATTGTAACATCCATTACTTATACCTGTTGTCAAAGCGAGTTGAACTGCGCATTCTAGGGTTGACTCAGACTTTGTAACAAAATCATTATGAGGATAGAGTAAGAAACACTCACGGTATATACTCACTCATATAAACATACAATATAGAATAAACCCACTAAAAGCTGTACATCTAAACAAACTAAGCAAAAGAGAGGACCCTAACTAAAATGTTCAATCCCCATCCTGAAAGGCAAAGAGGATGGACATCAGAAGAAAACGAAAATAGGAAACAACCTCGGAACCCGCTACAGAGGGCCTCTGAAAGCCAGAAGAAAACAGGAAACAACCTTGAAACCTGCCACAGAGGGCCTCTGAAAGCTTCTGCAGTATAGACTGTCAAAGCAGATGCTGAGCCTGATGGCCAACTGATGGGCAGAGTGAATGGAATTTTATGTAAGAAGTGGGAAATAGTAAGAGCTGGAGGGAACGGGAACTCCACAAGCAGAGCAACAGAACAAGATAATTTGAACACAGGGAACTTCCCAGAGACTCATACTCCAACCAAGGACTATTTGTGGAGATGACCTGGAACCCCTGCACAGGTGTAGCCCATGGCAGTTCAGTGTCCAAGTGGGTTACCTAGTAAAGGGAAGAGGGACTGCCTCTGACATAATCTGATTGGCCTGCTCGTTGATCACTTCCCCCTGAGGGGGGAGCAGCCTTACCAGGCCATAGTAGAGGACAATGCAGCCACTTTTGATGAGAACTGATAGACTAAGATCAGAAAGAAGGAGAGGAGGACCTCCCCTATCAGTGGACTTGGGGAGTGGCATGCATGCAGAAAGGGGAGGGAGGGTGGGATCGGCAGGGGAGGAGGGAGGGGCTTATGGGGGGATACAAAATGAATAAAGTGTAATTAATAAAAAATAAATAAAAGATTTAAAAAAAAAAAAGAAACACTGAAGTGCAATCATTCCTATTATTGGCATTGCTATTGTTAGATAGAAATGGTGACATAGTCCCTGAGGTGTTGTGTCTTCATTCAAATAAGTGGACTAAGCAATGTTTTACAGTTATTTTTAGCAGTAAAAATCAGATCTGAAAACCAAGAAGAAAACACTTTTCATAGTTCTTTATTATGAGCTGAGTAATTTCCAAGAACAGAAAAATAACAGAAAAGACAGATTCAGTGAAGGAAGTGTTTTATCCCATTTGGCTTGTCAGCACATTGGAAGATAATAAATGATCAGATAAGCAAACAGAACTAAAATGGAAGAATATTCAGTATGCTAATGGGTAGTGTCACTGGGATTAGAAACAGTGTATTAGGTAATATGACTTTATCATGTTTATTTGTAAATGCTGTCTAACCTATATAAATTTAGGTGATTTTTTCTTTTATTTTCTTTATTTTTATTTTTTACTTTTAATATTAATTAGTTTATTCACTTTGTATCCCAACTATAGCCCTGTCCCTCATTCCCTCCCAACCCCACCCTCTCTCCCTCTTCTTCTCCCATGCCCATCTCCAAGTCCACTGATAGGGAAGGTCTTCCTCACCTTCCATCTGACCCTAGCCTATCAGGTGTTATCAGAACTGTCTGCATTGTCTTCCTCTGTGGCTTGGCAAGGCTGTTCCCCACCCCCGGGGGGAGGTGATCAAAGAGCCATCCACTGAGTTCATGTCAGAGACAGTTCCTGTTCCCATTACTAGGGCACCCACTTGGATACTGAGCTTCCATGGGCTACATATGAGCAGGGGTTCTAGGTTATCTCCATGCATGGTCCTTGGTTGGAGTATCAGTCTCAGAAAAGAACCTTATGCCCAGATTTTTTGGTTCTGTTGCTCTCCTTGTGGAACTCCTGTTCCCTCCAGGTCTTATTATCACCCCTTCTTTCATAAGCAGTGTATCAAAGCAGATGCTGAGACTCATAACCAACTTTGGGCAGAGTGCAGGGAATCTTATGTGATTTTTTGATGTGATCCATGTAAAATTATTTCATAAGTTCCTTGGTATCTTAAACATAGAAGCCACCATTTGTAGTTTACATTTTGTTTACAATATTATGAAAAATATCAGTAAGTTATGTATAATGTCATACACAAAATGGAGAAAAGGGGTGAAGCTTACCACCAGCTCATCACAGCATGCTATTGAGGGATCCTTTCTCATTAATCCGAGGTATATGTCTTCAGTTCCCACAGTTTGTTGGAATACAATCTCATACCTGAAAAAATATCACTATCAATGACAATACTTGGGTGAAAGAACACTTCTCTGTCACATCACAAAAAATATACTGGAGACTTTTGATGTTATGTTAACACAAACAAAGAAAGAAAGGAAAGGACTAAAGTAAACAAAGTGCTCACTGTTTTTTAAATATGTAGTAGAACACAAAGGAACAGATTTCTAGAAATGCTGGGGGGGTAGGACTGTGGTTTTTGTAAACACTGTTTTCTGAAACAAAGCTTACCTACTTCAGATCTATGCCAAATAAGTGGGCTGAAGGAACTTATAGAACAGGCTCAACAAAATTGCAAGTAAAAAAAGAACCATTGCTTGAATACAATGACAATAAAAAAGAAAAAAAGAAAAAAAGAAAGAGAAAGAAAGAAAGAAAAGAAGGAAGGAAGGAAGAAAGAAAGAAAGAAAGAAAGAAAGAAAGAAAGAAAGAAAGAAAGAAAGAAAGAAAGAAAGAAAGAAAGAAAGAAAATAAAGAAAATACTGGACTCATTACCTCTAGGACTGATGAACAGATAGAAAACTTCTTTGATGACTTTAAACCACAAAGTTAAGACAATCTAGGTTCAGTACTGAATGTCATTAATTGTGTGACCTTGGTGACCTTGCAAACACACAGGATCTTGGCTTCTACATTTGTATGATTTATGGGAGACACAGGTGTGAATTACCTGACCTGTACAGCCGCTTGTGCTTCTAAAACTCTACAGAAGAAACAGTGGTAGTATAGTTGTGACAGCTGGGCTATGAGGTTTAGATTCAAGTACAATAGATTTCTTAATACATAAAGGGTTTTTCTTCCCCCACCCCACACCTTTCACAAACATTTCTTTTGTTCGAGGGATAAAATTCATAGAAACACCCACCTAGAAGGTACTCTATCTGGAACGAAACAATGATTTACAAGTTTTTTCATCTCTCTCCCCCTTTCCATCCATTTCTCTTTTCTTCTTCTTCACTTCCTACCTTCCCTTCTCACTCTTCTTCCTCCCTCTTTCTTCTGTCAGTGTTTGGGATCTAAGTAGGGGCCTCATACACACATGCTAGAAAGTGTTTTACAAAGGACCTACACTCTCAGATCTACAAACTATTTTTGTCTTCAATTATACACAGAGAAATAGTGTGACAACATATTAGAAGGCTAAAAGCTTAGGTTTAATTTCTGACAATATGTAAATAAGAAAGTACAAGAATTAAAAAGAAATTTTTGAGTTTGTATTGGACTAGCAATAGGTCGCTGTTTGATATAAAATACATTTCTCTTAATAAGCTGTAATGCCTACCAAGTATTTATAAAGGTGAATCCAGGTAAAACAAAACAAAACAAAACAAAAACCTGAACTGCATGTGTGAGATTCCATCCTGAGCAAAATGTACAATTCTCTTACTTCATACTACATGTGTTTGCCTTGAGGTCCCCAAGGCACCTCAGAGTTTATGTCTCCAACACCAAACCATTTCTTCCCCATCTACAATCCTAAATAATAACTCAACATCCTCTTTCATGCTTTCTTCCCATCGTTCATATCTAATCAATTACTAAACCTTCAAACTCCCTGAAGTAATCAACACTTATATTTCTCCCTTCATGCCAGTGACTTGGCTTAGGCCCTTATTATTTTCCATTTGGTCACTTGCAGTTCTTCTTTTTGTGAACTTTGTGTTCTTTATCCATTTTCCTCTTTACCCATTAGAACATTTGTGAAGTCCATTTCCATTAGGTAAAAAAAAAAAATCAAGATAAAAACTCTTGTAAAGCAAATTTGCTCATGTCATGACTAAGGTGATTTTTCACTCTGAACTTTGACAGATGCTTTCTCTGGTGAACTTCAAATGTCTAGATGAAAAGTGGACATTGACTCTAGTTGGGAGCTGGCTGAATATGGATGTGAGACATTCATTCCATAGTATGACAAATGAGTGACTTTCATATAGATATGTAGGCACCATAAAACTTGAGGTTTACTTTACTCATTTTTTGGACATAGTGCCCCATGCCCAGCAGCAGATGGCCAACAGAAAACAACAAACTCAACAGCAACTCTGGAGGTTCTTTGTCTCAAAATGACATAGCAGGGTTTTGTTCTTTTCTTTTAATTTTATCTTTTTTTTTTAACTTTTTCTCTCATTTTTACCCTACAGGTCTCTTGTGCATACAATATGGCTTACAGCTTTGTGTTTTTATGGGAATCTTGAGTGTGCAAACAAATGTGTCTCTGTGTCTATTTATGTTTCTTGTGCCTTTTCTTGATATCTTTTCTTTCTTTTTGTTTTGTCCTCTTCTGATAGGTTTGGCTTTTTAAAAAAAAATCTTATTATATTTTATATCATATTATCCTTTAGAAGTTTGTTTGCTTTCTAATGAGAGACACAAAAGGGGTGGCTGTGGATTGGAGGGGAGGTGGGAATAACTGGGATGAATAAAGTGAAGGAAAACTGTAGTCAGGATATATTATATGAAAAACTCTATTTTTAATAAAAATTGGATTTAAAATACAGGTACCCCAGCTGGGCACGGTGGAACATACCTGTAATACCAGCACTCTAGGAGGCAGAGGCAGAAGGATCTCTGTGAGCTCAAGGCCAGCTTGATCTACAAAGTGAGTTCAGGACTGCCAAGCCTACACAGAGAAAACATATCTCAAAAAACCAAAAACACAAAAAGAAAGAAAGAAAAAAGGAAGGAAGGAAGGAAGGAAGGAAGGAAGGAAGGAAGGAAGGAAGGAAGGAAGGGGAAAGAAAAACAGACAGAAAGAATGAGTGAAAGCATACAAACAGGCTGCTCAAGCTGTGAAGAGTAAGCCACTAAGCAGCATTCCTCCATGTCTTCTGCATCAGCTCCTGACTCCAGGTTCCTGCCCTGTGACTCCTGTCCTGACTTCCTTTGATGATGAACAGTGCTGTGGAAGCATAAGCCAAATAAACCTGTTCCTCCTCAAGCTGCTTTAGTCATGCTGTTTCCTCATAGCAACAATAACCCTAACTAGGACACGGGCCTTGATAAAAAAAAAATAGTATAAAACGTTTTAAAATCTTTGATTTTTATTTTAAAGTAAAGCTTACAGGTGTTAGGGCATTGTTTATTTGAAATCTGTATCCTTCCTTTCAGTTAATTATCTGTGATTTACCACTGCTTTTGTTTCCAAAACTAACATAAAATCATAATTAAAAAATATGTATTGGATAGTTTTGTAGTCAGACTTAAAAATGTTGTCAGATCGCTAGCCATAAAACTCTTTCCAAGTAAATTGAGTCAGACGTGAAGATGCACACTTGGAAGTGTAAAAGAGAAGACCCTTAGTTTGAGGCTAGCTTAGGCAGTAGAGCCTTTAACATCATACATCAGTATAATGTACAATACAAAACTAGTATAATGTACTATAACAAAGTACATTATAATCAAGATTACTTGTTTTAAATACTCAAGATTTTATGATATAAATGTATATAAATGTTTAAAAGTTCATTTAACCATGTAGTTTATCTATGTATGTAAATATTATTTCAGTTCCTTAAAAGAGTGATTTTTTTTATCAGAATGAAAAGATTTTGTATGAAAAGGCTACAAAGCAAAGCTTGAAACCCAGTTGCAAAATATATTGAATGCTGAGCATAGCCCTGAAATATTTAGTAAATAAGTCTGCATGATAATTGGTAATTGGAGGGAGGACATAGCCTTTTACTGAAGCTACAGAACACTGGCAATTAAACACAAACATAGTATTGTATCTTGGTTTGTGTGAATTTTTACAATTTAATGGCTGTTTTTTTCTCACTGGTAGTTCTTCATTAAACAAAACTGAAATTGAATATAAACCTTATAATGGAAATGGCTATATTTTTCACTATTGCTAGATAATAACTAATAGGAAGGTATTGTGTCTAATTATTTGTTTTTGTTTTAGAACAGGAAAAATAATCAGTTGTACTTGCTCTCTGTATGTCATTGCAGTTTTAACTGTTATGTGGTACAAGTTATTTATGAATTTTAAAAAAGTATGATAGTATCGAATGACACATTAAGCCTAAATGTCTAAGCATATTCCTGGTATCATTTGACTTACTCTGGGATTTCTCGAACATCCCATATATCATCATGCTCTGCACCTTCTGGAACCTCTTCTGGATTCCAGATGTTATCACTTTTGTCACTAATGGATTTAAGAATGGCTGTGAAGAAAAGAGAAAACATAACTGAAGCTGTTGCTTCTCCATATTCTTCATAATCATTTTGGGACAATTGATTGAAAATATTTTTTATTTGTAATCACTGACTTATTGTTAGTCCACATAAACTAAACTAGAATTTGCCTTTAATATCAATACAGGTCAGTACATTTTATAAATGTAATAATAAGTATGGAAAAATCATATCAGCAAAAAGAAGAAAATATGATAACCCACAACTATATGGTATTGAGATAATCAGTATAGTTATGTTGGTGGTTGTGAGAACCAGAGCCCAGAAGGAGATAAGGGAGATGAGTCACCAACCCTGGACACAGACTCTGGAGAGCAGCATCTAGTGCAGATGTACTTTTATTGTGCCGCAGCAGCATTTTTATACAGCCTTTGAACCAATGGGGACTTGATAGGAGTTCTGGGATAGCCAACCATCCAACTGTCACTATGGGGAGGTGACAAATAGATCTTCTGTAAAATTTTTACATAAAAGCTAAAGCACACACAATCTGATTTCTATAGAGTTACATCATGCATTGTATTTTACTATAAAAGCGTTTTGATACATTTCTATGTATGTATTATATAATCTTGAAAAATAATGTAGATTAAAAAAATGGAAAACAGTGGCTAGAATGATTACTTTTTAATGCACTGTCTTCATACTGCATATGCATACTTTAGAGAAAATCTCTATTACTTATCCTTTAGGCAAAAACAAGTAGGTGCTTGGATTTTTATGTATTATCTTTAAATGTTTAAAACTATGCACACCCCAGTAAGCATGCAAAACCTCGGCTTGCATTGGTTCATTGGAGAAACAATTGGAGACCCACATTAGGTTCAGAACATTATTTTCAGTCCTTTTAAGCTTTCCCAGAAATGCACCTGATTGTTAGGTTTTCAATTCCACAATTCTTTGTAAATCATCTGCTTCTATCTAGCACTAGCTTTCTAAAGCCCCAATGCAGGCTTATACATAATATTTTACAGATGACTCATTGCCGTCCAATTTTTGAGATTATTAGAACTACATTATTGGATACACAGCAACATGGAAACCCATCCAGATATTAACTAGTCTGTCAAGTATTGAATATCTCTGGAGTGAGACAAAGAGCCTCTTGAGTACATACAGTAATAATAACTGAAAATTTAAAAGCACCCTCAGACCTCTTTTATCCATTATTTTAAACATTTTCCTGTATACTATCCTTTAAATCAATTAATGTGATGAACAAAACATGCTTACTCTTTCTGTCCATCCTCTGGTAATTTTAATCAGGAACAACAGAATTAACGCTTTTACATTTTCAAAAAAAAAGATTTTGTGAAATATTCAGTTGTGTGAGAATATATAAACAAAAATGCTTGAGAGCCACAGAACTAGATTTCTTATTTGTTTGCATTCTGTTTTTATGGTGTTAGGTGAGTATTCTAACACTGAACTACAATCCTAGCCCCTGGGCCAGTAATTTTTTAAAGGAACCCCATGAACTTCCCTTTAGAAGCCTTTCACTGTAAGATGAAATTATCTAGCTATTTGTTTTACTTTCTTCTCCAGAACAGGTCTTTGATTTCCCCTGCAGTCTCAAGGATAATCATATTGCCCGGTACATAACAGACTCCCAACAAATATTTATTGAAATTGTATTAATAAATGGATCTTGGGAAATTGCTACACTATACAAGAGTGAAAAATGAGAAATCTAAAGGTCTTGATATTCCTATGGTTGCAACAGAAAAAGAGCAATGTGCCTAAAATTAAGCCTAAGCATATATGATTTCCCCAGGCTTTTACCTCACAGAATACACCAAAGAATGTAGACAGTTGGAGGCAAAATTTTTTTTCTTAATAGAAAACTACTAACCTGCAGCAGAAGTAAAAATGACAGCTTTGTATGTCAAAGGTGACTCAGCATGTGCATGATTGCTTGAGCTCAGCTCTTTATCTTTTAGAAATCGCATGCTTGTTTTGGATTGAAAAATTAAAAATTAATTTATTGTCATGTGCAATATGATGTTTTGAAGTGTGCATGCACAGTGGGATAACTAAACCAAGACACATGTATTACTTCACATATTTATCATTTCTTGGTGAGGAAAAGACTTTTAAGATGTACCTTCATAGCAATCAAAAGTATCTCATACAATGGCATTTAATCCATTCATCTTATTAAATATTAGTTTTTATTACTCTGACTCTGCTGAGTAAAAACACTCTATTGACTATTTATATTACTTTATTAAATAACTTACCTTTGGACTCTTTTGCTTTAGGTGGTCCAATATTCCCAGGGCTTAGGGCTCCAATAGCAGATGAGCATTGTCCCTTGGGGAGAATAGAATAAGTCCAATATTCTGTAACCAATCCTTGTATGACATATATTACTACTAATAATTTAAATCTGGTAGGTTTTCTATCTTAAAAAAACCCTCATAAAGAGTTCCACATTAATTATTCACTATTGTTATACAGCACAGACACAGATGCCAACTATTATTTTCAATGTGCTTTCCTTGTCCTTTCAAAAACATATTTGGTTTAATAGACTCTAAGGCTGAATTGATTTTTTTTTTGGTTGAACTAAATCCCTGGCTCCAGCCCAATAAATCATGTATCCATTGGGAGAGGAGGAATGAGCCACATTCATCACTATGAAGGTTACAACCAAGTGGTAGTAGAAAAACATTGGCACCTTGGGGTTTGGTTAGAGTTAGGTGAAAGGCACTCTTAAGGGAGCATTCTGAGGATCTTCACCAACCCTGTATCTGACAGAGGGCTAATACCCAGAATATATAAAGAACTCAAGAAATGAAAAAGCAACAAATCAAGTAATCCAATTAAAAATGGGGTATAGAGATAAACAGAGAATTCTCAATAGAATAATACTGAATGGCAGAGAAATACTTAAAGAAATGCTCAACATCCTTAGTCATCAGGGAAATGCAAATCAAAACAACCCTGAGATTTCACCTTACACCCATCAGAAAGGCTAAGATCAAAAACTCAAGTGACTTCTTTGTTTTTAATTGCTGAGTAGCATTTCATTGTGTAAATGTACCACAATTTCTGTATTCATTCCTCAACTGAGGGGCATCTTGGTTGTTTCCAGCTTCTGGCTATTACAAACAAAGCTGATATAAACATGGTTGAGCAAATGTCCTTGTTGTATACTTGAGCATCTTTTGGATATATGCCTAGGAGTGTTATAGCTGGATCTTGAGATAGCACTAATCCTATTTGTCCGAGAAAGCGCCAGATTGATTTCCAAAGTGCTTGTACAAGTTTACATTCCCACCAGCAATGGAGTAGGGTTCTTCTTTCTCCACATCCTCTCCAGCATGTCTTGTTACTTGGGTTTTTGATATTAGCTATCCTGATGGGTGTAAGGAGAAATCTCAGGGTCGTTTTGATTTGCATTTCCAGAGTGCAGGGAATCTTATGAAAGAAGGGGGAGATAGAAAGACCTAGAAGGAACAGGAGCTCCACAAAGGGAGCAACAGAACCAAAAAATCTGGGCACACCGGTATTTTCTGAGACTGATAATCCAAAGAAGGACCATGCATGGAGATAATTAGAACCCCTGTACAGAAGTAGCCCAAGGCAGATCAGTATCCAAGAGGGTTCCCCAGTAATAGGATTAGGGACCATCTCTGACATGAACTTATGGGCTGGCTCTTGGATCACCTCCACCCGAGGGGGGAGCAGCCTTGGCCACAGAAGAAGACAAGCCAGTCCCGATGAGACCTGATAGACTATGGTAAGATGGAAGGGGAGGAAGACCCCACTATCATTGGACTGGAAGAGGAAAAGAAGAGAGAGGGATGATGGGATTGGGAGGGCATGGGAGAGGGGGCTACAGCTGCGATACAAAGTATATAAACTGTAATTAATAAAATAAAAAAGTAAAAAACAAAACTCAAGTAACAACACATGCTGGAGAGGAGGTGGAGAAAGGGGAACCCTCCTCCATTGCTGGTGGGAATGTAAACGTGTACAACCACTTTGGAAATCAAGCTGGTGCTTTCTCAGACAATTAGGAATAGTGCTACCTCAAGATCCAGCTACACCACTCCTAGGCATATAGCCAAAAGATACTCAAGTATACAACAAGGACATTTGCTCAACTATCTTCGTAGAAGCTTTATTCATATTGGCCAGAATCTGGAAACAACCCAGTTGTCCCTCAACTGTGGAATGGACAGAGAAACTGTGGTAAATTTACACAATGGAATACTACTCAGCAATCAAAAACAAGGAGATCATGAAATTTGCAGGAAAATGGTGGAAACTAGAAAAGATCATCCTAAGTGAGGTATCCCAGAAGCAGAAGAACACACATAAGTGGATGTTAGACATACAATATAGGAGAATCATACTAAAATCTGTACACCTAAAGAAGCTAAGCAAGAAGACCCTGGGTAAGATGATCAATCCTCATTTAGAAAAGCAAATGGGATAGACATATGAAGAGGTCTTTCAGAGGGCCTCTGAAAGACTCTGCCCAGCAGGGTATTAAAACAGATGCTGAGACTAATAGCCAAACTTTGAACAGAGTGGAGGGAATCTTATGAAAGAATGGGGAGATAGAAAGACCTCAAGGCGACTGGAGCTCCACAAGGAGAGCAACAGAACCAAAAAATCTGGGCCCAGGGGTCTTTTCTGAGAGTGCTGCTCCAACCAAGGACCTTTCATGGAGATAACCTAGAACCCCTGCACAGATGTAGTCCAATGGCAGCTCAGTGTCCATGTAATGGGAACAGAGGCTGTCTCTGACTTGAACTCAGTGGCTAGCTCTTCAATCACTTCCCCTTGAAGGGTGCGGCAGCCTTACCAGGCCACAGAGGAAGGCAATGCAGCCAGTCCTGATGAGACCTGATAGACTAGGGTCAGATAGAAGAGGAGGACCTCCCCTATCAGTGGACTGGGAAAGGGGCACAGGAGGAGAAGGAGGAGGGAGGGGGTGAGATGAAGGTGGGGCTACAGCTAGGATACAAAGCGAATAAATTGTAACAAATATTTTTTTTTAATTTAAAAAAGTAAAGAGAAGCTAAAAATATACACATCAAAGGATCCATTTAAAAGTCCCAATAACTTTTTATCTCCTTCTGCTTTGGGGATGAAATATTTCTCTTTCCCACACTTTTTTTAATATGCAATTGTGTTCTAGTCTTTAATAAATGGTAAAATTCAATGTATAAAAATTATGCAAATTATCTTTGTTATAATCCATTTCTTTTTTTATTCTTTATTAATTACATTTTATTCACTTTGTATCCCCCCTGTGGTTCCCTCCCTCCTCCCGTCCCAATCTCTCCCTTCCTCCACCCTCTGCATGCATGCCCCTCCCCAAGTCCACTGATAGGGGAGGACTTCTTTTCCTTCCTTCTGATCCTAGTCATTTAGGTCTCATCAGGAGTGGCTGCCTTGTCCTCTTCTGTGGCTTGGTAATGCTACTTCTCCCTCGAGGGGAGGTAATTAAAGAGCAGGCCAATCAGTTCATGTCAGAGACAGTCCCTGGTCCTATTACAATAGAACCCACTTGGATACTGAACTGCCATGGGCTACATCTGTGCAGGGGTCTTAGGTTATCTCCATGCATAGTCCTGGGTTGGAATATCAGTCTCAGGAAAGACCCCTGTGCTCAGATCTTTTGGTTCTGTTGCTCTCCTTGTGGAGTTCCTGTCCTCTCCCTATCTTACTATTTCCCACTTCTTTCCTAAGATTCCCTGCGCTCTGCCCAAAGGTTGCCCATAAGTCTCAGTATCTGCACTTCCCACTCTTCTTATTGCAGCAATTCCCAACTCATAGTGTCAGCTGAATGCCAAACCACTTGTTTTCATACAGCCATATGCTTATTTTGTCATCTTTTTATTATATTTTCATTAGTGTGCATAACCTTGCAGAACAATCTTCACTCTTTCTAAGCCAATGCAACACATATTCATCCCATCACCTCACTGGCCTTTTCTGGAATTCTTTGATATTTAAATACAAACTCAATTTCTTCCTAATTGTTCATTCAACCATCTGAATATGAAGTTCTGATTCACTCCCTTACTAACAGCCAAAATATACTTATTTCCTTGCATCCTGACAAACTACCACATCTACCTGCCCTGTTTTTTAGTTCTTGCCGTAATCATTCAAGACTTCAAACATGTACAATAGTTGCAAAGTCCTCTTTAGTTGAGAAGAGTAATGTGTATCCTTGCATGCTGTTGAAAAAGTTCACCTGGTTCTTTATTATGTTAAACTATTCCAACAGTTATAAATTGCAAAATAATATGTAGTATTTCAACACTGTGTGAGATAATAACTACTGTTTTTCAAAAAGGAGATTTAAAAGCTCTATTGTGGTTAAGAAATTGCAGATATTTTTATATAAAAATCCCAATAGCATTTTGAACCTTTTTTTTCTCTGTTTAATCACCGAGGTCACATGAATGTGTGGTATTTTTATTAAATTATTAATCACCAGAATACTAATAATCAATCAGACAAAATCAGTTCTTGATACATAAGGGCCTCTTATTTTGCAGTCTCTCCACAGAAAGTTTAAATAAGTAGAAATAAAACCGTGAACATTCTGGCAAAATCTGATATGCTCTTTGTGTATAGGTATGATTGGATGAAGAGTGAAGAGGAGTTTAGTTCCTTAACTTAATGAAAATAAATGATTAAAAATAAAATTTCAAGTGAAAAGGTAAAATGAAATAATAAAATGCCACCTGATAATTGTTCCCTGTAAGGACATCATTTAAGCCTCTTCCATGTATCTACAGCCAGTTATCAGAGCAATTTGTCATTCCAATCCATGTCACTTTGTAATATTGGAGAGATTCTGAATATCCTTGTCATGGTGTCTGAAAATTGGTGGGATCTTATTTCCCGTAAGTCTTGAGACCCCTTCAGGAGTCTGTTGAAAAACAAGACTCTTTTCCCAATCTCCCAGAGACTTAACAATTCGTTTAGAAGAGGGATAGTGTAAATAAACCAATGTGTGCAACCGTTCTCTTGCTGTTTTTCAGAGTCCATTTTAGAAAACAGTTGTAATCATTCCCTTGTTCTCAGGATTAATACATGTTACAAATGAAAGGCATTTTATCTCCAGGGAAATTTAATAGTTCAGTGGGAACATTAATTATTCTCCCACCGTACTGAATCTCTGATTCTATACCCTCTAATGCTATTTGTACTGAGATGTCTAAGTGACCAATTATCTAAAAATTGCTTATAACCCACATACACACAATCATATATTATTATGGTAATTTTCTATTATGGATTGTGAAATTCAGTAAATTGATGTTATAGTCTCTCTATTTTCATAAACACTCATCTTTCCTCCTAGAAATACCTCTAGATGCAAATAAACATCCCTTGACATAAACACCATAGGGAAGAAGCTTTGTAACCAGTGCTGATTTGTACCTCTGCATCAGTGCCAATTGCAAGTTCTGCTTAACAATATTACTGGTTTCTGTCTTTCAAATACTTAATATGCTCTTTCTATGTAGTATAAGCAGGTCTTTCCCAGGATGTATGCGCTGGAGAGTTAGTATTTTGTTATTTCAAATTAGGTTGCAAAAAGAACTTGTTTTCCCAACCTCATGGATACATTGCACCAAACATTTTCCCCTGTGCCTTATTTACTGTGTATATTTAATGCTACTATCAATGACTTGATTTTTCTTTGTTTGGCTCTACTAAGGCTTTTCTCTAAAGCCTTATGTCTTCTTACCGTGGCCCCAAGCTGATTCAGCAGCCCTTTTCTACAAATTTTATTTCCTTTTTATATCTTATTTAATTCTCATCCGTTTCACCTAATGAGGGTAGATATTTATCTGGGCCACTGAGTTTGTGGCCCACTCATAAAATACTTGCTTTTCATACTATGTCAAAAAATTGGAAGGAATAAACTGATATATACTTTCATAGAAAATGGTTTATTTGTCAGTATAATTTCATTAACATACTTTTATGCAATTGAAATATTCTAATATAGTAGAATGACTGTGCATCAAGTTTTGTATTATAATAGGTGTTCTAATTGCCAATGTTGATTTCTATTTAAGGAGGGGAGGGGAAACCAGGGAGTTATGCAACACTATTTTGGTTATTGAGGAAATAGCAGTGGCTTTGGATAGGTAACTCTTCTATCCCAAAAGAATGCCATTTTGCTGTTCCAAGACTTGAAGGTGTTACCTATCCAGATTCCAAAATGAAAATCACCTGATTAAACTCTATATATCTATTTAAGCATGTACCAGGAAAACCCTATTAATAGACAGAAGGTGGTTTTTTTTTCTATTATATGGCTCAAAGTATTTTGCCGTTTTCATAGGTTTGTTTTTTTTTTTAATTAAGAGACTTGGATTAAAAGATTCATTAATACTGCATAACTGAAAATATTTGCTTTGCAGAAAATATTTGTTGGTCTAGGCATAAACAGTCATAGCTACTGGTCTTTGCAATGGTTGTAAGGCATTCTTTGACCATAAATATAAATGACAAACATTTTGAAATGTAGCTACTGCTACCATAGTTACAGAACTATTTTCCTATTCAGTTTTCAGGTGGTGTAGAAAAAAAATATAATTATGTTTGCTAGAAATGTGCTAGAGGTTATAGCCTCATGCATAATAAGCCTTCCAGCTTCTTATGTGTATATCAGATGACACAGTTCTGCTCCCACAGCAAGGTGAGAACGAGTTGTTAAAATACAGTTCCACAACTTCCTTTAATACAATTATCTAGTATTTTATTAGATAACAATTATTATACTATCTTTAAGTATATGACCACCTGTTCAGCATCAAAATCATCTTCCTCTTCAGGATACAGTAGACTGGACAGTGCTTGCAGGGCCGAGACAGAAGACAATATCCCAATTTTCAAATTATTAGCTTCCGTGCTTTTTGCTTCCAATTTTCCTGTTTCCATGTGTCCAGCTTCTGTACTTTTTGATTCCATATTCTGAGGGAAAGGATAATCAGACACACTTTACTTTCCTTTTTCTTTCCTCCTGTTTTTCCTTTCATTGTGTCACTCCACTATCTCAGTCACGTTTGGAAATACTTATACACTCCACATATGCGTTTTGCAAAGTCACAGAACCTAGGAAACCAAGTAAATCTAAGCTTTCAGCATGTTTCACTAAAAGTTCTTGTTCAATCCAACCAGCACACACTAAGTAACTACATAAATGGTTCTTAATTTTTAGTGTGCTTAAGAATAAAGAAGACAACTCTGTCAGACTCCTGTCTGCAAGTTTACCAGAGTATTGTTCATAATGTCTGGGGTTGGCACACTACAATATGATGGGTCTTTGGTTGGGCCAGGCATCAGTTGGACATTTCCTCATTCTCTGCTCTACCTTTATCCCTGTATATCTCATAGGCAGGGTAAATTTTGGGTTGAAGTTTTTGTGGGTGGGTTGGTGTTTACCTCCCTTTACTAGAAGACTAGTCTAGTTAGAGGATGTATTTTTCAGTCTCCCTGGCCCTTGCTACTAGAAGTCTCTGCTTGAGTACACCTCATACCCTCCTAGGAGCCTACCCTGACTTAGGTTTCCAGCTTGTCACAAAAATGTCCCCAGCCTCAGTTTCTCTTTTTCTACAGGCCTTCTGTCTTGATAGGCCAGAGGGGAAGAGGACATGTTTAGTCATGAAGAAACTTGATGAGCTAGCATGGATGGTAAAGGGAGCTCCCCTTTCTGAAGAAAAGGGGAGGGAGAACAAAAAGATAGAGAGGGTGAGACTAGAAGGGGAGGAGGGAAGGGACTACAAGGATGTAAAGTGAATAAAATAAATGAGAAAAAAAATGAAGAATAGCAGAGATCTGGAGGTGCATGCCTGTAATCCCAGGGGAGGCAGGGGCAGGAAGATCTCTGTGAGTTTGAAGCCAGCCTGGTCTCCATAGTGAGTCCTGTATAGCCAAGGCTACACAGAAAAACCCTGCCTCAAAAACAAAACAAAACAAAACAAAACAAAACAAATAAAAACAAAACAAAATAACAACATAAGAGTGACTAGGGGGAAAGCTTTAGATACAGCTCATTTGCAAATATGCTTGCCTACCATGCTCAAAGCCCCCAAAACGTAAAAAGAACACATTTGGCAACTTGATTAAAAGTACAAGTTGTTGTGAGATATGTACTAGTATTAAGGAACACAGTTTTTAGCCTATCTTTTTAAATCTGTTTCATGTTTGCTGTATATTCCAATTTGTGAACTTAAAAGATTTTGCTTCAAGGATATGCCCAGATAACCTTTAGTCATTTCACATATTTGCCCTAGGTAAGTGTGTACGTTTCTGCTTCATTTATATTGTTAATTAACCTTTGATGAGACCTAGCCTTACAATGACATTTGAAATGAGCATTGGCTCATTTTAGTGAAATGCATGAACAAAGAAACACATGTTTTTATGATTATAACAGTAATACTGAATTGTATCATCCTAGTGGCAATTTTGAAAATAATCCCTGCAGTTACATGCACAGCAGGACAGTTAGAATCTTTAAAAATATATAAATATATATATCAGAGGTGTCAGACTTTAATGAGTAACCTAAAAAGAAGTGTAGAATTGTGCTTATTGTTGGTAAATTGGGCATAACTGAAATAGGTATCTTTCCCACAATTTTACAGATATTTTTGAGACATTATTTCATAAACTTCATTCTCAGGGAACATTTCTCTAACGAGTTTAATTAAATTATACATGAAAAAATTTCCATTGTATCTAGAATGGTAATAATGTCCTGATATAGTCACTTGTCAAAATCGACCTGTATTGAAGATGGAATTTTCCAAGTTTTGTTTTACAAATATTTTTATTTTCTTTGTTGAATATATAATTGACTTGGATACTTACTGGAAATGTCAAGGGTGTGAAAGAAATGCTGACGTCTCTATTGCTAGTGTGGAGGCAAATATCATACTGCCTAATAATAAGAGGGCTTGGGTCATGCTGTTTGGAATTAGATTCATTGTGTACTTCTTCGCTGTCTGGATTTAAGCAATTATTTAAATTCTCTACCTAATTTTCTTTATTTGTGAAGTGTGGGATAATAGTAGTGTATGTCTCTTTGAGTTGTTACAAGTATTAAGTAGCTTTAATGCATATAAAAGAGCCTGGACTAGTACCTGGCACACAGTAAGCACTCAACCTATGTTAGTTATTATTAGTTCTTTAAAAGTTTCATTTTGCTGGCCATGACTATCACATTTAATGGTGCTATAGAATAAGTTAATGATAAAGCTCATTACATTGGAAACTCATTAAATAGAGAAGGTGAAATAAAAGGTGACAAACGATTTCTCTCATAGAACGGTCTGGTAGGCTGCTATGGAGATGAATAATTGACACATATTAAATTAAACAAAGAGGCTTCTGTTTGTATTTTTAAATTATTTCTTGATTCTGTGTTCATTAAATATTTAGCCAACATAAAAAACAGACTGTTTACTGGAATATTTTCTACCTTTGATAGTTTCACTTTCAGGGAAAAACACATCTGATATCCGATATAATTAGTATTGTGACTTGAAATTGTACAATGATGTGTTCAAGAAATAAATATAACAGAAATTGTTTTTTACATCAATATTATTTGCTCTACAAACTTTATAATATGATAGCCAATTATTCAACAATGATGACTATGATTGCTTAAATATGACATCATATTGCTTAAATAAACATTATTATCTGAAACATAGTATCCACTGATATTTGTATGATCATGAGGCTTCTGAGAATTCAGTAGGAAAGTAGAGAGAAAAGAGTAAACAGTAAACATACAGCTAAGCCAAGCCATAAGAAAGATATTTAGATGTTCCAAATATACCATCTGATGTAGCAGTAACAAGAGGTACTCCCATAGTCTTCTCTGTCTAGCAGGACTTTCTGGATGTAGAGAGATATTCAGAGTGACAAAGAACCCCAGCTCACAGGTAGAAAGTATGGGAAGGGTCTAACTATTGAGAAATGTCAGGGGTTTGGAGGCAAGATGAATATTCAGAATAGAGCAGGGACCAAAATTCCAGAGCAAAAATAGTAGCCATGGTAGGCCCTGCATCAGTGACTTTCTGTCATCCAGCACCCACAGAGAAGGTCATGAATGAAAATTATGGCTCACAAAGTGTATGGAACACAGGACTAAGGGGAAAAATAATTCAAAATTTCTACCAGTTGCTTGGGAAGTCTCTGACTGGCTCCTGGGTGGGAAGCAGGACAGTGAGGGCAGTGAGAAGCTATACATACCGAAAGAACATCTTCAAAACCACAGCTGGAATTTAGTCAGCAGTTGATGAATACTGAATGAATATGATTAAATTCATAGGAATGTGGCATTTCAAAATAGTAACCTTGGAAGGTTATATACTGATGTACATTATACCATCAATGCTCAAAATATTTTAGAAATTTTCTTTTCTCTTGGAATTTCCTTCATATGTATCACTAAGAAAATAGATATCATTACAGCATCATTCAGCTTGATTACACATTAGATTTGTCTCCTAGTGATTTCCAGATGTATCTAGCTATCTATATTCAAAATATGAAGATTTCCTTCTTTGAGACTATTAAAAAGAATATGATAGAGACCTCAAAGCTGTTCTAAAAATACTAGTCTTAAATGCAATTTGAGTAATCGCAACATCATTAGACTATTATATTAGCCACTCAAAGTGACTGCATTGTAGGTATATCATATCTTGGGGGATAAGTCCGTGTTTAAAAATCCTTCATAAAATTTTTAGTAATATTTTATATACCTGAAACATATTGGGAAATAGATGTCCAAATTATACTGGCAAAAAATGACACAGACTCAAATTATAGGTAATTTGTGCCAAAATATTATAAATTGGACACTTTTACAAAAATAATATTTCACCATATCAAATATAATAATAATATGTAAGCAAATGAAAGGTCCTGATAAATCTAATGATACATTTTTAGAAACAAAAGAATCACAAATATTTTGTGAATTATTAAATACCTCAAAATACCAAAAAGCAATCAATTAAATGAAATATTGGAAAAGTCGTTAACTCAATGAAAATACAAATTTTACTAACATTTTAGTAGTCTAGCAAGTCAAGAATACTCTTAAATTGAAAGATAGTTTTCAAAGCTCGTTTGTCACGATCATCATATTAAAAAAGAAAAGAAGACATGCCTTTTAATCTTTTATTTGTCAGTTTGATATAATCTCAAGTCTGGCAATCACTGATTTCAAGATATAGTATCAGCCTAATTTTCTGCTCTTCTCACACATTCTTTTCTACATGTATTCTACATTCTGTTAATAATGTACTCTCTAACTTGCAGCCTTTGAATCTAATTACTAGACTACTTGGGCAGACTAGTGTGGTGATTTTCTAAATTAAAAATTTCTAGAGCTATTGATTCTATGTTTCAATGTAACATTTATACTTGTTTTATTAAGTTTTTGAGAATTTCATAGATACAATTACATAATGAATTCTGATTATTTTTTCCTCAATACCTTCACTTATCTTGCTTCTATCCTTGTCTCCCCTTCTTGTCTCTATCAGTTCCTTTTCCAGATTCTTGATTTGGGGGTTTTGTTTTGTTAACCATTTAGTTTAAACAGGGCCATCTGTGTGACCATTGAATTTGATCTATCCATTGGAGCTGGTAGAGTCATCAGTAGCTACAGAAAGCAATAAGGCTCAGTCCCTGAAGAAACATCAGTAGCAGTGATAGTTTGGAGTGAGAATTGAGGCTCCTTAGTCCTTCTTCCATCCATGCCTGACTGTTGACAGGAATATTTTAAATAAACTAAGATTGGTAAAGTACTTGCATGAGGCCTTGGGCTTGATTTTCAACAAGTAGGCAGGGTGGTGATGGTGGTAAGAGCAAAGAATCTTTTTATTGAGATGTGGCCACTTAGAAAATAAGTTTCTTTCTTTTTGTTTTGTTTTGATTTTGATTTTTTTTTTTTTGAGACAGGGTTTCTCTGTGTAGTCTTGGCTGTCCTGTACTGGCTTTGTAGACCAAGCTGGGCTTGAACTCACAGAGTTCCACTTGCCTCTGCCCCACCCCACCCCCAGAGTGCTGGGATTACAGGCATGTGCCACCGCGCTCAGCAAAAATAAATTTTCTAAAGCTGTGGTTTTTCTTTCTTCCACTCCCAAGTCTATTTTGACCAGCCAATACCAAAACCAGTGTTTCCGGGCAGAGCTTTGTTACTCTTACATCAATCTGAGCCTTTAGAGCCTTCAGAAAAACAACAACAACAAAAAACAATGTAGTTGGGGGATCTGTCTTGCTAACCAGTTAAAACAACAGACAGTCAGGAACCAGCTCAAACCAAAACACTGGGACCAGCTGGGAACTAAAATGTATACCAAGAAGGCTCCAGATTCACGGCACTGAGGCAATACCAATAGACATAGGATCAAATCAGATTTTGAGTGTGAGCCTATAACCATTCTTTCTTATTTGTTTGTTAATGACTTCCATATACAGCATCAATAAGAATGGCTGTTTAACTACTCAGAGAAAAGTCAAAGTTAAGTTAGTGTAGTACAGATTATTTTATTAAGCACATAAAGTAAATAAAATAGTACCAATACGTATTACTAGGTATGCACAGTAAATGAGATCAGGAAATGAAAAACCGCCAACCATCGCTAGGGGTGTAGCTCCAGGGTAGAATGATTGTCAGATATGGGAGAAGGCCTGATTTTGATCGCATGTACTGCAAGAAAGGCAACGAATCATCAACCAGCATCTTGTTTGAACTTAAGTAAGTGAAAACATATTCCCAAGGAAAATTCTGTTGATATCTAAATGACTTCACGTATTTCAAAATCTGTTTATTCTCTAAATGAATTTTACATTTCTTACATAACTTTGTTTTTATAGTGCCTTATTTAGCAATTTGGGCATTGAAATTCTTCTGAGAATGCAAAAGTAAAGTATCATCTCTGCTCATGTCTGAATTAAATGATAATATTCTGGCTAATTGGTTTTTCTACTTTTGGAGATGCTTAGGATTGAATCTAGGCCCCTATGCTTGTAGATAAGTGTTCAATTATGGCACAGTAACTATTCCTGTCATTAAAAAATATTTGGGAGATGATGGAAAGGACTGGTCAGATGGCTCAGTGGTTAAGAGCTCAGTCTCCATATAGGTTCTCACATGAGGGGAGCAGGGGCAGCCTCTGTCATGAACTAGGCTATCTGCGTTTTGATCACTTCCCCCTGGAGATGTGGCCTTGCAAGGCCTCAGAGGAAGAGGATCCAGGCAGTCCTGATGAGATTTGATAAACTAGGGTCAGATGGCAGGGGAGGAGAACTCCCCCTTTCAGTGAACTAGGGGAAGGGAATAGGGGGATGAAGGAGGAGTGTGGGACTGGGAGGAGATGAGAGAGGAGGCTACACTCAGGTTATAAAATGAATAAAGTGAAAAAAGTGCACACTGCTCTTGCAGAGGACTCTAGTTCCTAGCACCCACATCAGACAGCTCAAAAATACCTGAAATTCCAGCTCCATGGAGATCCAGCACCTCTGGCCTCCATTCGTAAGTACCCAGACTCTTGTGTACAAACCCACACACAGATACATTATTAGTTTTTGATAACTATACTCATCAGTAATTCTTTGCCTATTGAAACTAATTTAGTTATGGACTGGGGATGTAGTTCAATAGCTGTATTCTTCTTTTCATCACTAATTTTATTTATTTAACCTTACTGCCTGATCCTAGTCCCCTCTGTCCTAATAGCTATTTTCTTAAGCACACTAAAAGTCCTTGGTTCAATAGGAAATAATCATGTTATGTCTTTAAATTATCCAAGAATATTTTCCTTTTTTTAATGTTTCTAACATTTACTGCCAGAAAACTTCCGTAACTATGAGGGGCTTAACAAGGTTTCTGTTACAAACTTAAAATATAGTTAACAGAAAATGTTTTTTTTAGTACCTGAAATCTTTCAGAAACATAAATGCAAGCCAGGACTTGAGGTACAGCTACTCATAAGGCTAATGTACTTCAGGCATGTCTGGGCTACAGAGTTCAAGTACAACCTGGGCAACAGTAAGATCTTATTTCAAAATGAAAAATTAAGAAAAAAAATAGAGGGCTTAGGTATAGGGCCAGTAATCTCATGTTACCTAAACATAAAACACAAGCCTCATTTGATTTAATAATTCCTGTGTCTGTTTTCTTTTTGGTTTTGTTTGTTTGTTTATTGAGACAGGGTTTCTCTGTGTAGCCCTGGCTGTCTTGTACTCACTTTGTAGACCAGACTGTCCTCGAACTCATAGAGATCCACCTGCCTCTGCCTCCCGAGTGCTGGGATCAAAGGTGTGCACCACCCTTGCCTGGCCCTGTGTTTGTATTTCATCCAGGTTATTTATAAAAGTGGAGTATCGACCATCCTTTAAAAGATGTGCTGGTTTGCTTTATTTTTAACCAGGCTAGTTGATCTTCAACTCCTGGGCCCAAAGGAACATCACACCTTAGCCTCCCTAGTAGCTGGTATTACATGAGCTCCTGAGTTTTGTTTTGTTTGTTTGTTTGTTTGTTTTTTGGCTTTTCGAGACAGGGTTTCACTGTGTAGCATTGGCTGTCCTGCAGACCAGGCTGGCCTCAAAATCACAGAGATCCTCCTGCCTCTGTCTTCTCTCAGTGCTGGGATTGCAGGCCTGTGGCACCACGCCCAGTTTAAAGTGAGTTCTTATGCTGAGATGAAAAACTTTAATTTTTACAAGGCTCCTCCTGAGTTATCAAAAGCTGTAGTATGCTTGCAATCTTAGCACTTGGAAGGCTGCGGCAGAAGGATGTTAAGTTTAGGGGAGCCTGGTCTAAATAGTAAAAGGGGGTGGGGTGGAGTGCTATATAGCTCATTTCAGGCAAACTTAATACTTTTGGCAATAATTTGTTCTTTCTTAGTTTTGAATTCCTCTTCTATATAAAAAGAGCATCAGCTGGTAACTTTTCTTACAGTTCTTTCAAATGTACTCCTAAGGTCAAAAAATCCTGTTTGGTTTATTTGTGTAGTCCCTGTTCTGAGTCCTACTACAATAAAAAACTCTTTAAGATTAATGATTTTTATCTCTCTGCTCAAACTCCATTCTTTTCCATTTCTCAGATTTAATTTTTTTATCACAGTGGTGTATATTTTCAAAGTAATAGTAAAATAACAAAATACTCTCCTAATCACCCTTTGGAGTAGCACGAATTTTAAGGTACGAGTAATCTTTGTGCCCTATGCTCCTACTCAGTTACTGTGGGTGTGACTATTCTCCATTCCTTAAGGAGTGACCAAGGTCCTCAGAACTCAGAGCTCTGAAATTCTCTCCCTCGGAAATTCTGTTCCATAGCAACTGTCAGGAGCCATTTTATTTTATTTTTTCTGTCTGAAAGGCATTACAGAATACACTCTTTCTCCGTTTCTCATACAGAGCCCACTAGCCCTGAATTACTACTGCTTGTTCATATAAAATGCAAGGTATAGTGAGTCTCCCAACTTTGAGCACCTAGACCTACCTAAAATATATATATTTTTTTAATGGAAAGGTGGATTTTCTACAGTAGGTCAACACCCATCCCTTCTCTAGTTTTTTTCTAGAAACATCCTGCTTTGGGTCAAGGAGGGCGGGACTTCAGGAAGGTTTTCCTCTACTTTGAGCAACACTGGGCTTTTCAGAGCTATCTCGCTGAGCCCTTAGGTATTTTAAGTTCTCCCTAGTTTCTCCCAGGGTCACCACATTAGAGGGCTCTCCCTTTTCTTCCCCCCTAAGGTTCAATTTTCCTCACCTAGGCTCCGAATAGACTGCTGCTCGCTGTGCGTCGCTCTGTTGCCTGGGCAACAACTTTGTTAAACCCCCTCTCCTACGTCCCACCTCGGGTTCCCGCTTGAGTCTGCTAGCCAATCACAGAAGAACCTCCTTTGAAACAATACCAAAGGCAACCAATCCCAGCACGTCCCGTCCCTGGTCGATGGCCGCCCTTTCTGGTTAAGTAGGTTGACCACAGCAAAGCCGCAGGCTGTGTCGCGGCTAGCTCCGGGGAGATCGCTGCTTCCTCGCTGGAGTGAGTCCGGGCCCGGGTCCGCCCCCTTCTTGCTGATTGCTCTTGCTGGCCTCTGCCTCTACTTCGCTGACGCGACAGCGAGCTCGCTCAACCACAGAGGTAAGTGCTCCTGGCTTAACATTTGCACCCCGGGTTTGTTTGTTTGTTTGTTTGTTTGTTTTTGTATGGACTCTTTCCCCCCCCTCCCTCCCCTTGGCGAATTCCGGGTCTAAGAACTCCTTACCTTCAGCAGGTCTGTTGCTACGGACACGGAAAGGTAGGGCTCCTTGCCTGGGGTCTGGGGGAGAAGCTTTGCTCCCAGTGATGCTTTGGCTCTCCACGCCCCCCTCCCATGACAGAGACACGTGTTGTGTGTGCCTCTGTCCCTGCTGGGCACTCTCTCGTCAGGAGCCTCCAAGGTGGTGGTCGTGGCGGCATCGGGGAGACGGTTGGTGGCGGTCCCAGCGGCGGCACGGTACTGGCGGTAGCGGAATTGAGCTTTTTATTCCCCACAGGGGCAAAGTCTGACCTTCTAGGAGCCCCCGGGGGAGCGGGACATCAGCTGATACGATGTTCCTTCGGAGCAGTTTTCAAGGCCACCGAGCCTCCGAAATCCTGGGAAAGTCTCTGGGCATGGTGCCCAGCTTCGACGGCTTTGGAGTGGGGAAGTCGTACCCTTAGCCACCGATAGGGAATTGAGTAGCTTCACCTTAAGGATAGTTCCCACGAATTGCTTGATTTGATTTTAAATAAAGGAGAAAGGAAGGAATGATGAAAAATTACTTGGATATGGGATTTGAACTGTAAGCTAGGAGACGTAAGATGGTTTTAATGGATACTTTCGGTTATCCAGGGAATGGGATTTGATTACGAAGGAAGGTACTGAACAACGGCCCTTGCCTTTCCTACTATGCGTTTCATAACCTCACCGCATATGGCAAGGAGGAAATAATAATGAAGTTTTAGTAATTTATTCATTCTGTTGTTATTATGCACGATAAATAAAAATATGATAGTGAGGTACTTAAAATGCTGGTTTTTTTAGCCAAATAAGCAAGACCATAATTCCCTTTATTACTGTGGATGATCACAGTTAAAATGCCGTCCATTTTGTTAAGTCTCTAGATAATTCTACAGCTTGTTACGTATGGTTTGCTATCTCGGTTGGTTTGCCTGTTTTGTCTTTGTTGTGCCTCTTTGTGCATTAATTCTAAATCTGTAATATCCAGCCAGTGTTTTGGAAACCTTTTGACTATAATTCACAGATAAAGAAGTACATTTTAAGACCTGGGTGTAAAGAATTATGTCTGTATTCTTAGCACTAGGCTAAGGCAAGAGGAATCACAAGTTCAAAACCAGCCTCAACTAAGTAGCAGAACACTTTTTAAAAAAAAATCAAGTTTTTTTTTTGTATTTGACAAAAAGACAATATAATTGACACATTTGTAAAACTCACTATAATGTGAAATGCAGTCTAACACTTTGTACTATATTTTAAATATATATATGTCATGCTCCATTAATGAATTAATTTTCATTATGAAAAATACTGGCCTTACACTGCTGGGTTTCACACTTTTGTAGACCTTCTGTTTATGAAAAAGCACAGATTGTTCGGGAATATTCAGGAAATGGCGGAAGTGTTCAGTTCAGTCCTGTGCGGTCTTGCCCTTTCCCCTGGCCCACGTGCTTAGGGAAAGACTTGCTATTTATTTTAGGGTTATAATGGACCCTTTAGGATTTGGTTTGTCCCTGAAAGATGGAACCCACTGCTAAGCAGTGAGGATAGAGGGGATGGTGGGTCCTGGTTCTGAGACAAACCTTCCGAACCTGAATACAGAAATTTTGAGATTGTGAAACTTTGGGATTTGAGAGACTCAGTCAGGTTCTTGATGTCAGTGACTTGTTCTCAGAGATAGTACTCGCTTGATTAAGTAAAATATTCTTTTTTTTAAGTACAATATTCTCTTCTAGCCTGTTTTAATAGCACAACAGATCTAGAGGGAAGAGAAGAATTACAGAGTGCTTCCTGGATTAGCCTAGCCTGAGCACAGATAGCTATCTGAATTTGACTTCTAATTCTGTTCTAAAGTAATGAAGTTTGAATGATGTAAAAAACAGAGCAAAATACACTTGAAGGTTTCTGTGCTTTTCTAGCTATAAAAAGGGCACTTCACTTAGATATTTCTTTTGAATATATGTAACCACTTTAAAAATACTGGTTAAATACTTTATTAAACCAACATTCAAATAAATTAAGGATGAAAAATTAACCCATTCCTGTATCATATCATAGTCTTATTTCCCACATTTATACATATAACTCCAGATTGTATACTGGGATTTCAGCCTTGTTTACCAGTTTGGGGAGAGTTTGCTTAATATTGTCCTGGGGAAACATTTTTTAGCATGTTGATATTTTTTAAATTTTGCCTTAATAACCTAACAATAGTCCAATAAGTGACATGGTTTTAATTTACTTAGCTTAACTAAGCCAGCAACAGAAGACTGTCTAGTTTCTTATGCTTAAGCAGAAGTGATGAGCTTTAGTGTCTTTTATATAGAAGAGTTAGATTGGATGCATTTTTTTAACCAAATAGACATTTTCAAAATGATTTTTTTAAATCCATGAGTCATAGAAGACTCCAGGAGACTCAAGTGTCATAACAATACTCACACTGATTAGCTCTCTTTATGAATATCTTCTTCAAAGTTGATGTCTATTAAGTTTTAATTTTTAACAAAGTAGCCAATTAAGTTGACTATAAGAAAGGCTATAGTTGACCTTAGAGAACACCTCTCTCTGCAGAGCACAGACACTCTCATATTTTTTGTCCCTTCACATTGGAGAATATTAAGTAGTCCCTCATAAAAATTATGAAATATTTCAAACAGCAAAAAAAAAAAAATACTCAGTAATATTCCACTACCCACATACTCACAGTAGATTTCATAGTTGCTAAAGTTTGGCTATTCTTTTAGATGCTGATTTTTTTTTTTTTTTTTTGAGATTGACACCAAGGCCTCACATGTTCTGAGCCTATCTTCTACCACTGTGCTCTACCGCTTAGACTCCCTTTCTCTTTTTTATGATGAACCAAAGCATAACAGTGTCCTCTTTGTACATGTTGCCAGTCTGTTTTGCTTTTTGTCGCTTTTCTGAATTTGGGTATATTTTTCCAGTAGTTGTTCTGAAATGCACATAAGTGTGGGGCATAAATGATTGTGAACTATATTGTGTCTTTAACATTTCTATAAATGATGTACAAGCTTTACTCTTCTATGACATTTTATGGCTACTAGTTTCTGAAGAGTTTTAAATGAAGTTATTTTTGTTGTGTAGTGTAGATCTCTACTTTCTTTACCCATTGTAGGTGTTTAGTGTTTTTGAGAAACTGTTTTTTTTTTTCTGTGTTTGTATTTTAACCTTCATTTTATTGTATTTTATATGAATGTTTTGCCTGTATGTATGTCTCTGCATCACATACATACATGTCTGGTGTTCAGTGAGGCCAGAGCAAGAGCAGCTAGTACACTTAAGCACCGAGTCATCTCTCCAGACCAAAATGCAATTTTTTTATGATTTACTTTCTTTTTAATTATGTGTTTTTCAGCTCTGTGTGGTTGAGTTCACGTAAGTGTAAGTGCTCAAGGAGGCCAGAGGCCTCAGTATCCTGGCACTAGGTTACAGGTGGTAGTGAGCTTTCTGATTCTGGGGTTGGTATCCAATCTCAGGTCACCATCAAAGAGCAGTACAGACTTTTAACTTAACTTAACTGCTAAGCCATCTCTCCAGCCACAAAATGTACTTTTTGGTTTAATTTTATCCTTTGAGAATTTTATGCACTGTAACTTGGTTGAACGTATCACCTCCAACTTCAACTTTTCTCTTTTTAAAATTAAAAACAAGCCTCAAGTTTATATTAATTTTGTATATTTTTATGGAATTTTCACCAGAGTGAAAATGTATTTCTTTAAAAAAAAATATGTTAGAGTGGCTGGAGAGATGGATTGCTGGATAAAAGAACTGGCTGCTCTTCTAGAGGATCCAGGTTCTAGATCCAGCACCCACGTGGTGGGACACAGGTGTCTGTAACTGTAGTTCCAGGGTATTTGACTCCCTCTTCTGGCTTCTATGAGAACTGCATGCATGTGGTATGCCGACTTGAAGACAAAAACAATATACATAAAGTGAAAAAAAAAGTAAATCTTTTAAAAAATCACTTTAGAGGTGGAGATATAATACAATTAGTAGAATGTTTGCAATATACATAAAGTAAAAAAATAAATTAAAAAAAAACTACTTTAGAAGTGGAGATATAATGGAGTTCTCGTGGTACGTGCTTGTCGCCTCAGCACTTGGGAGGTTAAAAAAAAAAGAATTAGAACTTCAAGTTTATCCTTGGCTGTTGAAGACTAACTTTGGATACGCAAGACCTGTCCTTTTTTTTTTTCATGCAGGCGGTGTCTAGAGAGGTGCCTCAGGAGTTAAGCGCACTAGCTGCTCTTCCAGAGGACCTGGGTTCAAATCTCATTACCTACACCATAGCTCACAACTGTCTGTAACTCCAGTTCTGGGAGATCAGATGCTTTCTTCCAGCCTCCACAGACAAACATATGGGCAATGAACCCATACATGTACTTTTTTTTAACTTTAAGAAATTCTATTAACCAGATCTATTTGTTTTTGTAAGATTATTTTTGAGATATTTAAATGCTTCATACTTTTCCCATTTTTTTTCTTTGCCTTTCTTTCTTTCTTGGTCTCTTCTTGTTCTGCTCTCTTCCTTCTTGTCTGCCTTCTTTTTTAGGGGACCAATTTTCTAAATGGAGTAATATTTTTGAAGCTCTCTTGCTTTAATGTGTTTTGTAATTTATTTTCTGTACCAGTTTTGTTAAATATTTTACTCTCTTTCCCTTCTCCAATCTCTCTCATAATTCCTGATATTCACTTCTATATACTCTGCCCTCTCTTGAATTCCTTTATCTCTTTGCAGGATACTTTTGGGTCTTCCTACTCTGTCACATCTTTCTTGGATTCAGCAGATCTGAGACCTCCCCCTCCCCCTTTTTTTTTAGTTTTGCTTACCTTCTCTTGGGGTATGTACCATCTTGATCTT